ATCAATTTCATCGAAATAGAAAAAATTATCCATAGCTTAAAACTTGATCTATGCGTGTTATGTAAAGAACTATGAAGACTCTTAATCTTATATGCAGGACAGACAGATGGGCGGCGAGCAATGAAGAAAGACCTACCTATAAAGTCAAATCCATAAGTTCTCTATATAGAAGGACAGACGACAGAAAAACAGTTGTACGAAGAGAGAGACAGACAGATGGACGGATGCACAAGAGAAGCTATCGATGATTTGAAAGTCGAAAAGCTAATCCATAAAGTCTCTAAATCTAATAGATGGACAGACGGAAGGCCTTACGGATGGATGAGCAGACACACAGACGGACGGACAGACAATAATGCAAACAGTCTAATCTATCATGCTGAACAAGCTGAACCCATCAAGAGACCATCAAAGTGTACGGACTCGGCCACGCCTTCTTCTACCCATAACACACAAATCAACAAAAACCAATATGCCCGCTCCCATGGCTCGAGGGTAGCTGATATCAACGAGAATAGTTACGAAATTATTACGAGGCATATATGTTGTGATTAGACGAGTGGAGATGAGGTCACAGGCAGAGCCTTAAATGAAAATGCTAAGCGTATAAGTTATTGGCTTTTAACACCTCTTATTTGGGGTAAAAAAAGCGAGTTGGGAAAGCGTGTGGCAGTAGTGGATGGTTTTGGTCAACCTCGAAGTCACGGGGATGCAACATGGAAAACTATTAGCATTTTCAAATTTTAAGCGGATTAAGTTCCGAAAGGGACGAGCGACGAGCTCAGTTCAAGGCGAGACCAGTAAAAATAGGGGTGAACTGTGCCGGCCTATGTCCCATCTGGCTCGGGCCAAACTCAAACAAAAAAGTCTAGATGAGCCTTGTCGGCTTTTGCTGAAATTCAACTAATTTGCGGGCAGCCGAACAACTAGAGGAAAGGCGGGGGGAAATTAACCACACTAAAGCAAATAAACAAAAATATATCAAAATAAAAAAGAAGACGCAAAAAAAGTGAGAATATCTGTGAATGGATGGGATGCGAGAGTGTGCAGAGGGGTGCAGGGTGAAGGGTGGAGGGTGCCGGATAGAGGGTGTTTCGCAGAGACTGTTTACATTGCAAAAAGCATTCGAGTGCAGCGCAAACAACATCAAACAACAACAACAACAGCAACAACAATGGACAACAAACAACGCACAGATTGGTCATGCAACGCTGGTGGCTAGGACTTTCGGTTGCACGCATTTACCAGGCGACCTCATAGAGGTATGTTTATACGCGCTCACATCAACTGAAGGCAGTATATTGGTTTTATAACTCATGATATATATATATAGATATATATAGTATATATATCTGTGCCCGATCTCTGAGGGAAGCTCAGCGTAAAGAGTATATTGGGTTGCTGTGTGTGTCTAAGGCGAGTTAGTTCTTGACAATTTGTGTATAAATACTCGCTGAGACCTTGGTGAGGCCTTATAGAGCTATCTTAATATATGCTAACTTCACAACTTCACGTAAAGGCAGTGTATTGGCTTTCTGTGCCACATCTCTTTAGGTAGCAGCCTGAACCTAGGCAAGCTAGCAACATTAGACTTATTATATATATACTCACATATATCTGTCTCCGATCTCATAGATGTATGTTTATACACGCTCACTACAACAGCGAAGAGTATATTGATTGAACTAATGTAAATTCGCCTCTCAGCGTGTCCGTTAGAGACTTCAGACTTGGAATGTCTTAACTAAGGTAGAGTCTCCTCAGACTCCTCCTCTTGAAAGACTTGAAATTTGGCATCTGCATTTTTTACGCACGTGAGTCAACTATTAAAGAGTATATTGGCTTCAGTCAGCTTTCTCTCAGGCTGTCTGTATGAAAACTATTGTTGAATTTTGTTATATCTTGTCGAGTGTGTGCTCAACTGACCTCAGAGAGGCCTATTTATACTCGAGGGGTATATTGAGCTGGTGTAATGTTTGTCTGCCTGAGTGCAGTCAAATCATTTGGTCTCTACTGTGACTAGAGTATATACCCGCCTATACCCCGTTCCCACAAAAAGGCCGAGTTTATATAGCTACGTTCACAGTAGTCAAGGCAAGTCCGCTAAACTCTGTTGCTTTCAGAGTTTTATAGCTTGTACACTGAAATTCCTCTAAAGATGTTTCTATAGATCTACCTAATATCCACTCTAACTATATCGAAAGACATCACTACAGCTCACATTCACGAAGTTCGTAGCGCTCTACTATATAGCCTGTGAGTTCTTGCACAGTTTTTGAGTTAGGAGCGCGTATTCGGCAGTCAGTTACGCCCGCTTTGCTACTGGTTTTAATACTATCTGCAGCGTTGTCAGCCAGTTCTCTTAAGCCCATTGCCACTCTCTCCCTCTCTCACCCCACTCACTCGCCCCTCCTCTTCCTGGACTCTCTCTGGACTCGCTTCGGGCTGTTGTTGTCAATTGAATTGAATTGTTTTGCCTTTTTGCGCAAATGTGCGGCAATCAGAGCGCGGAGCGTGAAGGCATGTTTGTTTGCCGCTTGTTTATTTGTTTGCCTGTTTGTAGTTCTTCTCGCTGTTTGCCCTCAGCCACCCGCACCTCCATGACTTCCGGTATAGCCATTGGCCTACCCGTCCAGCAGCCCAGTAGCCCATATGCACCTAGTGCCAAGTAAATTGAAATCGACACATAATCCGACATTGGCCTCCTGTGAGTGCAGCTGAGTGCAACAATAACTTCAACTCACGCCCAAGGATAAGCTCTCGGAGAGAGCTCTACAAGTTCTCATAGTTATGCATTTTTAAACTGTGCAACATGAAAACTCTTTAAACTGCACAACAAAGATTTCAACACTTGAATCAACTGAGCTCATTCTGACAGCTTTTTATGGCATTAAACTGAAAGTTTATCAAATGTTAATTAAAACTTCATAATATTACATAATTTAAGCATTTTCCACAAGTCCCTGCATTACACTCTGCTACAAGATGTAACTTTGTCAAAGCAAACTTTTGTTGAACTGATAGTTAAAGCAATTTGCTTAAGAGAAGAGTAGCAACTGGAGAAAAGGAGATAAAAGATATATCTAAAGTGAACAGTTAACTTCTAGGTCAAGGTGCTCTTCCAGAAACCCTAAAATACGGGATAAATCTAGGCTTAGACAAAGTCCATTGACCTTAGCTGAACGTTACCAAGCCAAAGTTTTTCTCAAGCTCTCGATTAGAGCTGAACTGTGACCTTTTTCATATATGATATGGCATAGAGAAAGTCTCTTGATTCAATTGAGTGTTTTTCTTAAAGTAGCACAAGTTTAAATCAAAATTAAGTAAAGAATTATATTTGTACTATTAATAAAGTTAATTTTATGGGATAGTAAATGGCATGACATTATTGTTTAAGTATGCTTTAGTTAAGTTTGGTTAAAAAATCAATTAGAATGGCCAACTCAAAGCTGTGAGCCTCTAAAAGGACAGACTTTACTCAATTTATATGAAATATCAGTTCAATCAAAAAACTCTGAGCTCAACCTTAATCAATCTATCTACAAATATAACTAACTTTATGACTATTGTAGCATACATATAGGGCTTTCCGATTTGCCACGATAATTTTTTGAGTAATTCAAATGAAGCTTACGATTCTCATGAATTTTCTTTATGATTCTACCCTGTTTTTATTCAATCTATGCCATTAAATATTGCTAAGTTAGTCAACAACTAGGCAGGAGGCTAGATTCATGTATTAAAGGTCAAAGAACAGCTTTGAGTCCTTTTTAGCACGGGAAACGCTCTCCAAGGCAGCAGAAAGTTTGAAAAATGTTGAAATTAATTTCCATGACAGCTTGGCCCAGGTTGTAAACATATATTCCTTATAATTTCGTTACGTATTTTGGCTATTTTTGAAGCTTTTGCATAGCCAGCAAAAATTCGTGTTCCGTTTCTTAATTCACGACCTATGGACGCTGCAGCAGAATAAAGCGCAGATTGTGAACGTTTCGCTTTTGTTACTGCAACAACAACAACAACAGCAGCAGCAACGGCAATGGCAAAGGCAACAAAATGCTGACAAACCGTACGCTGTCTTCGTGGCAACAGTTGCCTTATCAGGTTGACCCGCGGCAGGGCGCGTGGGCTGAGGTTAGCGCGAATCTGTTTGGTTTTAATTACACGCAAGTCTGATCCACAGCGCCTGCTGTACTTTGATACTTCGCCACCTGAAACATGTTGGAGCTGGCGTTGCTGCTGCTGCCAACATGTTGCAAGCGAACATGTTGTAAGCGACGCTACCCCTTCAAACGCAAGTGTGTTCGAAGTGGTTGTCGTCTGACTGGGGAAATGTAAGACAAGCAAAGCAGCCAAGTCCTGCTGCTTGAACTGAATATTTAGACCACATAATATTTGCTATATTTGTGCTTAAAATACTATATAATTAGGATGTAATACACAAGTTATGACAAATATTTCATTTCCATTTAGATAACCTAGCTGCGATCGCTGTATGTAAGCCAGGCATCGCCCCTTAGGGCAAATTTCATACTGCTTGAATTCGCCGCATACTTAATTTGCCTCGAAACGAACCTTGGCCGCATGTCAGTTGAGAGCGCATCCAACACGTCGCCTTGTCGCTCAGTGACGAAGCCCATATTGGCATGACCGACGACAACGCTTCGGCAACACACGAAGCTTTGCCGAAAGGCGACCCGAACAAATAACGGTAATCGGCAGCACGCGCTCAACACTAAAGTGTTTAGTAGAAAGTGAACTCTTACACAAGGCGGACACAGTGAAACGTGGCGCGCGCGTATTCATGTATTAACGGTGCATGCTTAAAAGCAAGCTACAGTTAAAGATACCGTTACTCTAGCACGCTTTTATGCGTGCGATTGTGTGTGTGTGCTGTGTCTGTGCTTACAGCTGCTAAGATGTTGAGCGGAATAAGCCAAGTACTATGGACATAATAGAACAGCTTTTGCAAGTTAAGGAATAACTGTTAACTGATAACTGATAACTGATAACTGAAAACTGATAACTGAGAACTGAAAGTGTATAGAAAGTGCAAGTGTATATCGAAATTCCGAGTACCACCTATAAGAAAAGGTAATAAATATTTATATGACAGTGCAAACACTCATAATATATATATATGTATATATTCCTCGACTATTGAAAATCCTCTCGATTTTTGGCATGCCTCTTGACACTGAATATCACATTAAGGAATATAAACGTGTACGTGCTAAAGAGACAAAGCCAGCCAACCAGCCAGTCAGCCAACCAGCTAGGCAGCCAGGTCGTCTGTCCCTCTGTCCCGCTGTCTGTCTGACAGCCTACCAGTGTTTACATTTTATATTTTATGAGATAATATCCCCCAACACCATAAACACAAAAAGGCTGCAAAGGCAGCAATGTGCATTCCTTGGCCACATTTACTGTTGCCAAATAAATACAGCAACAATAACTGTGGCAATAAAAAGACGCGAACGTCTTTTGCAAAGAGGCTCAGACGCCAGCCACAAACTTGGCCAACAGACGTTGTAACAAAACCAATTTTCATTGTTTTGCGTTGGCTTAAGGCGGCGAATTGTGTTTCTTGAACGAGAATTTCCATTCAAGACGCAAAAATTGTTGTGCAAATGCCAAAACAGGAAAACCGAAAAAAAGAAGGCCAAAAGGGAAGCTAAACTGTGCGAAGTGCGAATAAACACATGCGTCGACGTGTGAAAAAGAAAATCAAGTAAGACTGACGTCTTGAGTCGGGTGTGAATGACTCCGAGTTACCCTCTAAACGAACACCAAGACAGAGCGTGGTCTAGTCGGAAGTGAACGACTTGGCAATACCCTTAACGCACAATTTTCTATAGAACTTTTATATGGCTAGGTGTGCATCTTAGATCCATACCTTAAATTTACTTATCGTCAGAGTTTCACATCTTTATAGATTATCTATTCAAATTTCATTTAGATTTTTATTTTTCTAGAAATCTTTAAATTTATGTTGACTTCCTATTTTAAGAAAGAATAGAGTTAAATATGGGTTATTCGTGCTTTGCCTATACTTTCAGAACACAAATGTATTACATTTTATTATCTTTAAGTCTAATAAGCTTTAAGGTGCCCTCAAAAGCGAAAATCTGATAACGATTTTAATCGATATTTTATTAATAAAAAAAGGTATCGATGAATTGAAATATTGTCTAAATATGACCTAGCTGAAAAATATAAAGTTCCTAGCTCCTAAAGGCTCCCAGATCCAAGTGTTCATAAAGCAACACAGACGGACAGCTGTAGGAACTGACTGACGGATGGACAGAGGCACTTTGACCCCAATCAAGCAAGCATCTATAGGTTCGGTCTAAGCTGCTTTGGCCTACATTCACATTCCTTCGCCACAAACATTATACCCTTTGCAATGAGGGTTAAGGGTATAAAAAGGGCAGCGAGCAATATGCGACTTTGTCTCCACTTGGATATTGCATGTACTGCGACGACTTTTATTCAATTCTGAGATGGCGATGGAGACCTCAGGCAAAGGATGTTTGGTTGGAAAAATGTCTAAGGAAATATTTTTGGTTGCTGACTCTAATAACGCCACCACACAGAGAAAGAAAGACAGAGCGAGATAGGCACACTCAGGACAGAGACAATTGCCAGAGATACATAGATATTTCCATTATGTTCTGTGTGGAATTTCGGGTATTCGAGCAAAATGCTTTGAGGAAGCGCACAAAATAATCCTTAATTATTATGAGAAGCAGCAAAAATTCCGCAATGCATTGCATAAATAAGTCGCTGCCAGCTGTTGGCATTAGCATTAATTTGAGCACCCGATTAGGCGACTCAATTTCGTTTTAGGAGCCTAAACCACATTAACGGACTATCGGGGGGTAGGGAGTCATGTTACAGCTAGCTGTCTGCTTAATGCAATTGATTTGTGTTGACACGTTTTTATTGTTTTACTGTTGGCTAGGACTCGACTCGACTCGACTCGACTGTCTCATGCCCAGTTTTAATTCCATTAGCCCAATCTTATGTATGGCATAGAGCAGCCTCAATCGCCTTTGTTTCGCACAACTCCAGAGGGCGGAGATGCTACACTGCCACACAGAAATTGATTGATAATCAATTGAGAGGATTTTCTTATGCCTATAACAGACGCCAGCTTCTTCTTTGCTCTGGCAATAGACCCAGTTATGCTCGCCCAAGAGAGAGGCAAAAAGAGAGTCTATTGGCTTTTGTGTACTGACTGACCTAAAGAGACTTGGGAAACTAGAGATTCCGATGTGGTGCTAGAGCTTCTATATGGTCTGATGTGGAGCTACAGCTATAAGAACTGTACCTCCTACATTCATATCTCTTAGGAAACTAACAAACCGGACAGACTCTATTTTCCACAGTCTTGCAGCTGTTGATTTCTCACTTAGTCTGCTTTCCAGTTCGACGAGTATGGGGCAGTCGGTTGCGCTCGTCTGAACTGTTCTTACTTCAACTGCCTGCGGTTTGGACTTGCTGCTAACATGATACGCTTTAATCTGGCCAAGGCAGCAAAAAAGAAAAAAGTAGAGAGAGAAAGCATATTGCAATGGTGCGTATGGGTTGGTCATGCCACAAGTTGTTTTCTGTTCTGGTTGTTGGTTCTTGGGGCTTGGGCTTCGGGCTTCGGGCTGGGGCTGGGAGTGGGTCTGGGTCTGGGTCTGGGATGTTCCTTCCTGTTGCTCTGCCAGTTTTCTTTCGTGCCGCATTAAGTGCTTTAAGTAATTTATAAACGCCTTTTGCAAGGCACAACACAAAGGCAATAACAACTATATTGGATTGGTTTTTTGTTCTCTCGCCTTTTACTTTTTTCTGTTCGCCTTTTTTCATCGCCTGCTTAAGCTGCCCTTTACTATCTGCCTTGTAATTGTTGTGGCTTTGTTGTTGGCCGTCAAGAGTTTTATTTGTATATGTGTTAATCTAATGCGATTAGTCAGTTAACTAGCAGCATATGTTCAACCACTAAACATCTACAATTTCGGAAGTAGCACAAATAATTTTGTACACGATTCGGATTCGATGTGTGGAGGGCTGGGGCCACTTTAATTTCACAGCCTATTGTGGGATCGACTGTGAGCTCATCTTTAATTTAATTGTAGTGTTGCTTGTTCACTGAGCATGCAGCCAAAACTGATTGACAGTGGGAAGCTGACTCCATTTGCCTGTGTTGCTCTGTCTCTGCTTGGCTTGTCTGTCCTTGCGTCTGCATCAATCTCTGGAACTATGAGAGACATAGACTTGCAATTTAAAATTCTTAATCTTGTTTACCTTAACGTTGCAAAAGCTTAACATTTTTAAATATTAGCTCACTCTCATTCTCTAATATCGATAAATATCGATACATTAAGTTGGTTTTATAGGCATAACTTAAAGAGCATCAAAGTTAGAGATATCAATTTTGGTATGCCGCTTTTCCTAACGAATACACGGATTGTATCTGTTTCAGAATTTAGATACGTCATAGTCAACTTCCAAAATTTGCCAAAAATAAATATATTACAATTAATAGATTCTTGATATTTGACATGAGCAAACATTTTATTGACATCTTCATGTGCTGAAAATTTCATTAAGATCTGACAGGCAGAAGCTGAGTTCAATCGGACTATTGCTCATGATGGGGAGCTACGAGCGCAGCTGCTGTTAGCAATGCACTTGCTCATGCTGTGTGTGCATGTAAGCAAGAAGAAGCCTTTAGCATATCTCCCATATCACACTGAATTGTGTTAGACGTAATATAAATAGTCAGACTTGGTTTTCGGTTTCACTACAACTCAGGCTGTAGTTGCAATAACATTTTTAATTAAATTTCATGCCGACTTTTGAATGTCTTCGAAATGCTTGTGTGCACGGCCATGATGGGCATTTATCTCCTAGAAGTAGATACACGGAGTGCAGGAAGGAACGAAGAAAGGAAGTTAGGCAAATGTCTGCTGCCAGTGGCAGAAGCAATGCCTTGGCTACACGGCCACACAGCCACACAGCTACACAGCTACAGAGTTGCCTGTCATTATTTGTAATATTTGTTAAAGCTGAGCAGAATATTTAGAGGCTGTGCCCAAACAGAGTAAGAGAGGAAAAGAATAATTTGCCTACAAAGCAGAAATGTTTGGCAACTGAGAATGGCATTTGCTGCCTAGCAGTAGGTCGGCAGCTGTTGGCTTATTTCTGCTGCTGCTTCTATTTCTGCTTCTGCTACTGCTGCTTCTTATATTTTTGGTAATGTTTAAGAAGGTAACAGCAGCTGGAGCGTTTTCATTTTGAACTTCTTGCCCGAGACAAAACAAGTTATTTACTTGCAAATTGTTGGCTATGAACGTTTATAGCCTGTTGCCTAATTTGCTGGCTTATAAAAGTGGATATGGCCGGACTTTAAGAACTGGCTCAGGCCTCGACTTTCACACGCACACACTTCTAGCCAATTTTTCAGCATTTTTTCTTCGCTGTGCTTTCACTAATTTTGCGTCTTTTGGCTGCTGACAGCTTCGAGGCTAAGAATTTTCCATGTTGGGAAACTTTGCGCTGCCAACAAATCTTTGTCGGGGCAGGTTTTATTTACAAAAACCAGCTGACGGATTGGCAGACAACTTTTCTATTCCTCCAGCTCCTCCTACACACACGCACACATAGATACACACACATATATATATTTATATATATATGTAAATCTTTTTATTATAGAAATGTGTTTTGCACTTTCTTTTGTTGCATACTTTTTGGGTCCATTGAAAAGGCAACTTTAATTTATGAAATTTATGTTTTATTCCCGCTTTTGTTGCGCAACTCTATTGTTGCAGGAAATCGTCTCGAAATAGTTGTGTTTGCATTTAGATTATTTTCCCAGCACATTTCTATAGCCCAGAAGTAAGCCTCAACGAATGCTATTTAACCTTTTTTTCCGAATTGCCGTTATTGTGAAACTGAAAAGGTTTGCAAGGCACCAACCAAAACATAAACACAAATGCGCACCTTCATTTCCTTTTAGAGTTTTCTTTCAGCTCAAATATATAAAATTTTGCTAAGATTTTGGTGAGCTTAACAAGTTTTTGGCTTCTCTGAAAAGCAGT